TTCAGCTAGGACGCGCTTGAGCAAAATCAAGAATATGTCATCTCTTTATCATCCATCACTCAAGCCTCTGCAGCACAATTCTGAGATGCCTTCATGATTCTTCGAGCACTTCCAAATGGTAGATCCTTGGAACACAAAATTTGGAGAGGTGAAAGAGAACTTAGATACGAACCCAATGGTCTAACTCATGTCTTAAATGGATCACATATAAGGGAGATATTGTCCTTTAAAGTTAGTACGTTTCTTTTGGAAATTGTGTAAGCAAAACTAGTGTATTAAGGATGCAATCGCTTCCTTCATATAAATCAAACACTATCACATCCTTTAATGGTAATAGGACATAGAATCAGGAGTCCAATAGTCCTACTCTCATGACAAAAGCCCTCATATCAAGAGAGAGATCTCAATTTTGGCGAACGGGGGTCATCCTGGCTGTGACGTATGGAGTATAAAGCTTTTAAGGCTTTAACTGTAGGGATATGTAGATTATAGGTTAAGCCACCTCCAAATGATATGAAACTTCAGGGGGAGGGATAGCATTCTTCAAAATATGATTCCCTGGAGTCTCACCTTAATCCCAAAACATAAAGTTTTGGGACGTTGGTCAAGACATATCTTGACTGACAATAGATAAGGACATTTGGTTAAGCCAATTCTGAACTGTGCCCCGCAATTTGTTTAGTTATTGGCTATGGAGGCATATCAAGCCCCATGGTATATCTTTAAGGATTTTACCTCATTAGGATATCATATAGTGAGGTATCCTTATTCCCTGTCAGTTAAGCCTTGTCTCCTTAACTAACGATGGATTAAAAAAGACATATCACATATTATCCAAACTCTTCCAATATCCAGTGGAGAGGAATATAAGGCCATCAGAGTATATGTATCCCAGAGTTTCGTCTCAAATTTAAAAGTCTTTAAATCTCTTGTCATAGCCTGTAAGTCACAATGCATATGTGTAACTGACAATGAATTAGGAAAATATATTATCAAACCACATCAAGTTCCTCCACATTTCACATCAAGAGGCATATAGGGGCTTTACGGGTATATGTATCCTAGAACTTGTTACACAATGCGATGTCTTTAATATATTCTATCATCAACTATAAGTCAAAAGATGAACATGCTTGGCTAATGAGTAATTGGTATCGTATTATTTATCGATCGTAAAGTAGAAAATATAGGGGCTGACTGACGAGGTAGGGTTCCGAAGACGTATTGGGGCCTTCATATCATGAATCCTGAGCATATCATATCTTTCATATCATATTATCTCATATCATATCGGGAGTATATCTTAGCAGGTTTTATCAAGAACCATGCTCATGTCTCATCGACCGTCTGTTAGGACAGTTATCGTGCATCAGAAACTCCATTTTATATTAACATCTTCAATTTATTAAGCGTTTGTTGAAACACCTTTGCTCTCATATTAACATCTTCATCTTGTCAAATGCCCGTTAGAACGTACTTAGTCTCATATGGTGACTAAGGGGTATATTGATCATCTAAGGCATATCTTCAAGGGCCAAGATTATCCAGCTTACATGTATGTTTTATCTATTGTTAGAACATTCATTCGGTGTTTGCCGGAATCCTTGTCTTATAATCCCTTCAATCTTACCGAGCATTTATCAGAATATATCTAGTCCAATATGTGACTAAAAATACACCCAGCAGTAACATGAAACAAAGCTCTGATATCTACAATCTTGTCTGAGTTGCATGAACCTGCCCGTCACCATAGTTTCCGACCACACCTTCTATAACTGCAATGGTTTTCCAACCATCACTCTTGGTATTGTTCTCATTCCACTCTTTTTTGAGCTTCAGACAATCTTTCTTGATGTGCCCTTCCTTGCCACAATGAAAACATGTGATTCCCTTTCTAGTCTTCGATTTAGCTTTATCATTAGATCGGTTTTGGTCTCCATTCTCGGAACTTCCTCTATTTGTGACAAGAGAATGTGTCGGAAGATCTTCTTCTCGTCTCCTCATTCAGTAGGCTGCGACTTACTTGACTCATAGTCACTAACCCAATAGGTGCTGAGGTACTCACTGAGACTACCAGGGTCTCTTAATTATCCACTAGTGAACCGAGAAAAAATATAGCTTGTAGCTCATCTTTCAGGAATAACTTCATGGTTGCGAGTTGATTAACAATGCTTTGCACCTCATTCAAATGCTTTGCAATGGATCTTCCATCACTTTATGTTCACAAATTTTTGGATCAAGAACGGCTTATTTTCGGCAGTTTTCCTCTCGTATAAGTTATGTAGTTTATCCCACAATGACTTGAAAGATGTCTCCAACGACATATGGTGGAACACGTTTTCTCCTTACCATTGTTAGATAGTTTCAAGAACCTTTTGGTCCAGTCTCTTCTACTCATCATCTGTTATACCTTCGGACTTGTGTTTTACTCCTTCAATGGGTGTGTACAAGCCCCTACAATATAGTAGATATTCTATCTTTGACTTTCAGATGATCCAATTATTCCCATTGAACGATACCACCCTACTTCCGATATTTGAATCCATCTCTAATCCACACACATTATCTTTCATACCCCTCTCTTCTATTCACTGGTGTTCAGGGGTTCATCATTTGTTAAGCTCCTACTGTCGGTCAACTATTCGTCATCGGTCAAAGTATTCGTCATTTGTCAAGTATCTCTCTCTTAAAGGCTTTTTTTCTTTTCTGGAGGCTCTCTCTCACTAAAAGAAAATGTTCTTTCTTTTTCTCTCTAATAGGCTTCTCTCTCTCTACATCTTATTCTTCTCTTTCTAAGAAGAAGGGTTACTTTCTCTCTTCTTCTCTCTCAGACTTCTTTCTAGAAGAATAAGGGTAATTTTCTCTTTTCTTCTTCTCTATCAGAGAAGGCTCTCTGTATTTTTCTAACACATCAAGAGCGATACACCCAAAGAAGTAGCGCAAAGCGGGGAGAGACAACCTTAATACTTCATGAGATTTTCTCTTTTATAACGTATGAGATTTTATTTCCCCAAAGTCTCTACCTCATATGATGTAGTAGTTATCTTATGAGAAGATATCCCTGTACACTTTCTCTCTCTAAGAGAAATAAAGATAGAATCTTCCTTTACAACCCAACTCACATGAGTGGTTATCTGCTCACGACAACCCAATGAATTGTGATCACACTATCTCTCTAATATTGGAGAATAATTCATTGGTGCCCCACCCTCATGAGACAGGATACCCAACACATGCAAGATACGACAATATACTAACAACAAGTAATATTATGTGTTTTAATAAAGATTGCAAATCCCCATCTCTATGATAGGCATGGTCTTTCCCAATGCTGCTAAAATCCCAAATACCGATATAGGATGACTTGAATGTTGTATAGAAATTGAAAAGAGAATTGAATTCAGTCCTGAAAGACGTAGAAGGAGATAGGAGAATCAGGAATATAACCTCCAAGCTCAAAAGGAGTATTATTCAGGTACCTGCAACTTCTATTCTGACAAAAAAAAACCCTCAGTCTATTGGAGATATGAGTGGCTAACCTTTTAATTATTTTTATTTTTTTGCAAATTTTGTGCTTTTTCGATGGTCTCTCTCTAAGCTTGAGTCACTCTGCTTGTTGGAAAAAAAAAGGAAAACTTCTTAGCAACAACTTATAAACTTCCTCACATGCCCAGATATGTTCTCTTTCCTATGGTTAACTTTAAAAAACAAAAACATTCGATAGTCACTCATTTGAAATTGGGAATTTCATCAGCAACAAAGATTTTATATTCACAATTTTTGCATCAAATTGGGTGAAATATACATGTAGAAGTTGATTAGCCACATAAATGTTATCTATTGACTGTAAATTTGTGATCAAACTATCTTCTATCTATTCGTGCATGTTCAATAAAAGATAGAAAAACAGTTTGCTACTTTCTTGACATTCAATTCAAGGCATCCAAGCTAAGATCACTGAAAGCTTGTTGTACAAGAAACATATGACACCAATCAAAGCTTGTTGAACAAGAAACAAACTCCTTCAAGTCACAATTCCTTTGTTTTTTTGGCCATGAAAGCATGCAAAAAAAATCAATAAGAAATAAAACAGATTCCAAATTGATAGAAACAAGAAATTGAAAGAAACACTATCTATACACACAAAAGTAGGCAACCAAATCAAAATAAACCTAACTAAAGAAACCGAAAGCACGTGCAAACATGCGGAAATCCACACGCGCACAGACATTGCCCCGTTCTTACAACTCGAGTCTTACCCCCCCCCCCCCCCCAACCTTTCATCACACCTTCCCACACCCCCTTCACTCTCTGAACCAGTGAATCTTTATTGTATAGACATATCACAGAGAACAGCAGGCCCAAATCCACACGTGCACAGACATTGCCCCGTTCTTACAACTCGATTCTCCCCCACCCCCCCACCTTTCATCACACCTTCCCACACCCTTCACTCTCTGAACCAGTGAATCTTTATTGTATAGAAATATCACAGAGAACAGCAGGCCCAAGTGGCACAATTATCTATACGCCCAAAGAGTAACATTTTTGTAAGCACAATTTTATACATACTACAGTATGGTAAACTACATAAAAAAAAGAGAGCCCTGTTCTTACTTCAACAAAAACGGCAAAAAGCACACATATCATATGTGAACACACATGCACATAGTGACATACAAAGAAATGACAGGAGATAATATTTATCCAATCAAAACATATTGCGCTATCAAAGGGAACCCTACACTCAATACAATTTACACCCATCATTTGCCAAATAAGTAAATCAATTACAACAGTTATTAAACTACAAACACACGAGGCATTGTGGCACAATCTTGCAACTATCCTTATCAGTCCAGCCATGGAAGCACACAGTCCAAATGAACAGAACACAACACATTAATAAAAATCCGAAATTAAAAACAGCAAAATCAAAATCATAACGATTCATAAAAAGAACCCACAAAAAACAGAAAAGCAATGCAATGGTCACATACCCCGATCAGGAGGCTCATCAGGGTCAAGCACTGAGTGCCCTCTGAGCAGGTATGCCTCACACTCAACAAGCGTCGGCCCCTCTCCCCTCCTGGCTCTCCCTATCGCCTCCTTTGCCACCTCTCTGACCTTCAACACATCCATCCCATCAACGTGAATGCCCGGCATCCCAAATGCTGGCCCCTTCTTCCAAATCTCGGGGTCACTTGTAGCCCGCAACTGTGACGTATTCATGGCCCACAGATTATTCTGCACCACAAAAACAATGGGCAATTTCCATAGAGCCGCCATGTTCAAGCACTCAAAGAATTGGCCGTTGTTACATGTTCCATCTCCAAAAAAGGCTAAAGCCACATCATCGCACTTCTCTTTGAGCACATCTCTCCTATATTTTGAATAGAAGGCAGCACCAGTAGCAACTGGTATGCCTTCTCCAATAAAAGCAAAGCCACCGAGCAGATTGTGCTCTTTCGAGAACATATGCATTGACCCACCTTGGCCTCTGCAACAACCAGTGGTTTTGCCAAAAAGCTCACTCATAAGAGCTCTTGCTGGGACCCCTTTGCTTAAAGCATGGACATGGCATCGATAAGCGCTGACAATCGAGTCTGATTGCTTTAGGAGCTTGATGAAGCCTGTGGAGACAGCTTCTTGACCATTGTAGAGGTGGACGTAGCCGAACACTTTACCTTTGTCATACATTTGGGCACACATATCCTTAAAGGAGCGACCGAGGGCCATGTCCTCATAAAGCTCAAGGCCCACTTCTCTTGTGATCAACTGCAAATTCAAGAGAGAGCTCGAATGAGGGAAAGGGGGAGCTGGGGGAGGTTCTGGCTTATTGGGAACCTGTTGCTTGTAACCATTGGGGTTTTTGATCTATTTGAACTCTCTCTCTCTCTCTCTCTCATAAAGGAACCATTCTGATATCCCTTCTCTCTATATCTGGATTTTCTCTCTATACGTGATATTTGATGCTATAAAATTTTAATAATGTTTTTATAATTTTACTTTTAGAGACGTAGGTAGATTTTTTATTTTTTAGTAGGGTTAATTTTAAGAATATTATTTATTTTAGAAAAAATAACATATATTTCTGTTATGTTTAACATTATTAAGAAATTACATCAAAGTGTTCGTTTGTACATGTATGTCAATTTTTCAATTTGATAATTTTTTAAATAAAAAACAGAACTACCCTTTTTAGTTTTTCAAAAACAAAAATTAAAAAATTTCTATTTTTTCAAAAAACCAAAAAAAATTTGGTTTTCAAAAATCTCTCTGTCTCTCTCTCGTGCTAAAAAACTGAAATTGTGTCTTCCCAACGTTGCAAAGCCCACTCATCGGACGTTGGAGCGTTCGTACTAAGTCCTTCTCTCTCTCAATCTTCTTTCCTCTCTATCCAAATCACATTTCATGTTCTTTTAATCTCATTTGCAAACGCGGACTTGGATATTCACGTAAAGTCGTGATCTTCCCTTTCAATTTAGATTTTTGAAAATCCGAATTTCTCTAAATTTCATTTTTTGAAAAAGATAATTCTCTAATTTTCAGTTTTCAAAAACTGAAAAACGCAGTTTCGTCTTGCTTAAGAAATGTTATGAAGTTGAAAAATGGATATACATGTATAATGAAAACTTCAAGGTAATTTCATATAACATTATATATATATATATATATATATATATATGGAATATTCTAAACTTGACAACCCTTCAAATAACAAAAGTTCAAGATAGAGAAAGTTGTGAACGGTGGATTTATTAAGCTTGTTGTCAATTTTTTTAAAAAAGTTACTTTTGTGGGTAAATTTGTAAATATTACTACATGACAAAGGGTATTTTGTCATCTTTATAAGGGGTAATTGAAATTTTAACTAAAGGACAAGGGCACTTTAGAAATAAAGTTTCGGGACACTAATTTCTAAAATACCATTGTACTTTTATGAAAATTTCAAATTTGCCCCTGCTTAATAGTAAAGTTATTTATTTTGTATTTGTAAATATTACTACATGACATAGGGTATTTTGTCATCTCTATAAGGGGTAATTGAAATTTTAACTAAAGAACAAGGGCACTCTACAAATAAAGTTTCGGGACATTAATTTCTAAAATGCCATTGTACTTTTATGAAAATTTCAAATTTGCCCCTGTTTAATGGTAAAGTTACGTATTTTGTATTTGTAAATATTACTACATGACAAAGGGTATTTCTGTCATCTCTATAAGGGGTAATGGAAATTTTAACTAAAGGACAAAGGCACTCTACAAATAAAGTTTCAAGACACTAATTTCTAAAATGCCATTGTACTTTTTTGAAAATTTCAAAATTTTCCCTGCTTAATGGTAAAGTTACTTATTTTTTAATAAAAAATTAATGCTTGTTTTTATAAATACACCCATTACAAGCCCTTCTAACTTGAACCTTTGTATTTTGAGGGGTTGTTAACTCAAGACAAATTCTGTAGGACCCTAAAAGATCATCATTAAAGTTGGCACAAATCTCTAGAAAAGTTATCACATTGGTGTGGGACTTGACTTTTCTATAGATCCGTGTCAAATTTAATGGTGATCCTTTGAGGTCCTACACACATGGGTGGGGGACAGGCATATAGGATCTATATATATATATATATATATAAGTCTTCCCAAAGCCTATAGGCAAAAATGAACAGTGATATCACCTACCCTCATCACTATCCAAAGTTCACCGCACGGTCACGATTTTTCGGTAGTATTTCATTTTGTTTCTATAAATCGAAATGACCTGAAATTTGGAGTGTGTGTACATCTTAGTGAGGCGCACCTAATAAAACTAATAAAAAAATAATTTTAAAACAAATTGACCAAAATACCCCCTAAACATTTCAAGGGTATTTTTGTTAATTCGTTTCAAGTAAAATATTTTTTTGAAATTTTTCGTAGATTCGGCTATTTTTTATGAACATCCAATCTAAATTTCAAGTCATTTCAATTTGTAGAAAAATAAAATCACTGTTCATTTTTGCCTATAGGCGTTTTGTAGTATCCTCCATATATATATATAGAAAAGATGAGATTAGCCCAACATTCCAGATTGATTCTGGGCTGATCTAACGATCACGAATGCCCGGTAGTGGTTGAATTTTAGTGTTTTTTTTACAAATTTAAATCACTTGAAATATATATAAAGAGCAATGATTTCATGCAACCGTTGTATAGTAATATGATGCAACAACCTTAAAAAACCATCTTTTGGCCATTTGTTTTATCCAAATTTTGAAATATACACTTTTTATTCTATTGAAAAAACATATAAAAAATAAAAAATTGAAAACACAACTTAGAAAGTATTGTTTTAGCCCAATTAACATAGGCCGTTCATTTTGATGAGATGCTTAGATTTTGGTCTTAGAAGGATTTTTTCATTTCCAATTTTTTGGATGGCTTTACTTTCATTAGATGAGCAATGTTAAAATAGAAAAAAATGATTTGAGTTTATAAAGGCTAAGATATTGAAATTCACAAAATGAATAATCTAGATTCATTTTTAGAGGGGACTTGACCATATCTAAGGTTCAAATTGAAAGTTTTTTTTTGGGGGGATTGATTATTGAGATGAAGAGAATGTGTGTCAAAAATTTAAGGTCA